AAAAAAAAAAGAAAAAGAAAAAAAGAATGGCAATAGGAATTACCGATTTACAAGAGCAGTCACTCATATTGAGAAACCAAAACTCCAATCAATTCGCAAATCCATTAGATGTACCAGTCTCCATGTCCGAGCCGAAAATTAGATAATCTCAAAAGTCTGTGGAATTCAACCCGAAAAGAATTGCAGATGAGGTAATGTAGATTCAAATGATTTATTTTTGCTACTTTCAATATTTGATTTCAGCCTTCAAAATTTGCCTTCTCTTAATCAACAAGAATGTCACCACAAACACTTGCAAGATCGTGACAAATCCTACAAATGTTTGCCCAATTTTCTTCCCTGGGTTGGACTTCTCTTTCTTCTGTGGTGGCCTGATGGCCCTATGCAAGTCGTGTTGATTTCTATTACTATGTGCGGAGGTTGAATTCTCTGGAGGAGGAGGCCGGAGGTGTTTTCTTGAATGCAAAGGAGGCTGGAGAGAGGAAGGCGGAACTCGCCTGGAGGTAGCTGGAGATGGAGGAGGAAGTGGTGGGGAAGGAGATAGTGGAGGAGGAGGAGGAAGTGACGGGGGTGGAGGAGAATGCGGCGGAGGCGGTGGTGAAAGATCCAGATTTTGCTGAGACTCAGCAATTTCAAAAAAATAACCAAAGAAAAGCCCTAAAGAAGCGATTACTAGAGTCAATAACGGAGATTTCGTAACGACCATCTGGGTTCGCCTTGAATTCCTCAAATTCTTCTTCTAAATCTAAGAGGAAAATATTGAATCTTGAAAATGGGTGTGGTTTTCTCCAGTAAACGAAGCTCCGAAATTGTAATGATTTTTTTTTCCTAAATCGAGTCTTGGAGATTTTTTGTTGTTTCGAAGAAGAGGCAAAAAGTCGTCCACTGAGTCTAGATGAAGAAATTTGATCTCTTCTTCAAATGAGGAGATGCCAATTTTTTTTAAGAAACAGGGTAAGGGAGTTAATTGTTCCAATGGTAATTGAACTTAAGTACATATTTTTGATTGAACACTAAAGTTTAAAATATAAAGTTTTTGTTATCAAACTTAGCTCCATATCTTCGATTGGTCACTGAAATTTAAAATATTGAGTTTTGACCATTAAATTTTGAAAAATGTTGTACATCACATACTGAACTTTGAAAAAAATTGTACATTACTCACTATAAATTCAATATTTTTCAAATTTCAA